TTTGTTGTTAGTGTGGTAGACAAAACTGATGGAAGCACCAACGAGTTCTTGTCACAATTTCAGGATATAGTCCTGTTTTATACCATAGCGCAGAATTTTGGATATCATCAAAAATATATATTGCTTAAATAACTCTTCGATAGATACGGTGGTGATACTTAAGTATTTTAAATATGAATTGAGAATTACTGATAAGGCTAAATACAATCTTTAACATTATATGCTTCTCAACATTGTTTGTCGATAGTAGATTTTTAAGTAGCTCATAATTGTCACAGCAATATATTCGAGATACATATTAGTCTCCTTAAATCGGCATACTTCATTTTGAAAGTATTTTATAACAGTCAACATATGCTACATCAACGACTTATGATGAAGTTATGTGAAGCCCCTAATGCTTCATGATGCAGTTAAACGATAGGGTCACTTTCAGGTGTTATTATTTCAACTATTAACTTTATGTTATAGCTATACAGGATGTTTCTGTAATTCGTGGCATAATTTTAATCTCAAATACATACTAGAGTCAAAATGATGACAATTTGTTGCCTCATTTTAGAGTTATTCACAAAAAGATACAACCTCATTTTTGAAATACTGTCATTAATTGTAAGCGCCCATGAAAACAAATCGTTAGTAAAGCAGTCTGTCAAATTATTATCCAACGTAGCGTAAAATCTGGATTTTCTTTAGTCCAATTATGAGTACATTTTTTCATCATAGTACAGTTTTGCCATACTGTACTCAGTACGGATCATCATCAAGTTTTAATTCTTGTACTGTCAAGTATAAGACAGCTGGTATAGATACAATTGCTATTCGTTTGGGATACGCCAAGCCGTACTTTTGAATATTCCGCTTTATTCTTATATTATATCAACAGTACTAGTGGTACTACGATCTGCTACAAAATCCAAAATGTTTTCTTTTAGTTTGGGTGTACAAACTGACCTATGATTTCCGTTATTTACATACTTTTAGAAATGGTTTTTTATTAGATTATTTGCGGTTGGAAAATTTTTGCAATATCACCTCGCCGCTGCGTTAACACTGCCTAAACACTCTCCCAACGTTAAAACCACATCAGTTTGCTCACTAAAACAAATTATTTGCCATTTAGCGGTGTGTCTAATCAAAAATTTCTAAGAGTGAAAATCATTTTAAAATGAAATAGGCTTTTAGAATCAGTTGGAAAATTAAAGGGTTTAAGACATAAACAAAAAGTTTTAAGGAAATAACCTTTATGAACAATTTTCAAAAAATGACCAAAAATGCACCAAAAAATTTTACACGAATCGTCATCATTTTGACTCTAGTATTTGTGATTAAAATTATGCCACGACTTAATACACAAACATCCTGTATAAAAAATCACATCTGTGTGTTGTGTTACTTAATACTTATTTGTTATAACTACTAACTTTATCACGTTATCTGTTTAAAACATGATTTAACTGTTCTACGACGTTATGTTATTAAAAAGAGAAAAAAAATCTTTTAATAACAACTCAACACGTGTACCAAACATATGACAAGAGATACTAAATAGTTTACCGTAAGGTTAATAAGCTCTCTGTAACATTCAATTTACAGATATCCTATTTGTGTTTGCAAACAAGATGATGAGATGGTATTACCATCTTGCGTGAATGCCGCCCCCTTAATAGGTGGAAACTCTGGGAGCGTTTGACATCAGGAACTCACATCTCGATAACATTGCAACTCCGGAAAAGCCCTAAGCTGTTGAGTGTAGGTCACTTCTGTAAATTGCAAATAAATGAATTCATTCTCAAAGACCAAATATTGCTTTATCCTTGCTATGATGAATCAATTAAAACAAACCTTATCGTTTTTTCGATAAGATACAAAACTAGGTACTGCGAAACTATTGAAAACAATGTTATCAACGCACCATAACGTTACTGCGAAATATTTAATGTTATATCAATTACAAAACAACTCAATCTAAAAAATCCAATAAAAATAACTTAAATAATTTAAGTCTTTATTTAGAATCATTATTTTAGAATTATTTAGATCTTTAAAAAGAAAGATACATATATCTAAGATCTGAGAAAAGCGATCGATATGATCCCGCTTTAGAAATTATGGAACAGAACTTACTTCCATGCTTTCTTTCCTACGAAAGGTGTCAAACAGGGATGCTCTCTCCCACAATATTCAAGATCTATATCCACTCAACCCTAAAACATTGGAAAAGGAAATGCAACCCGATGGGAATATGGGTAGGAGACACATATGGGTAGGTATATGTTAAATAAACTAGAAATAGAATACAATAAATGGGGCTTGGAAATGAACAAGGATAAAACCCAATATATGGTAATTGGATTAAAGGGAAGGGACATACAATTGGAGACCGACATAATAAAACATGTAGACCACTACGAACACCTTGGGGTAGTCATAAACGAAGACGGAAAGGACAATAAAGATGTAATGAGGAAAGTTGGTAGTGGAAAAAAAACGATGAAGGCAATGCATACGATTCTGTAGAATAACTACCTAACGATACAAACAAAGATAAATATTTTTAGGGCCATTATAGAACCATTAATGACGTATGGGTTAGAAACAAAGACACAGCTCGAAGACTGCTAACAGCAGAGATGATGTTTTGAAGAAGATGCTATGGTATAACCATGCTGGACCGAGTTGAAAGTGAGGAAATAAGAAGAAGAATGACAAAACTCAAAGCTCAAAACTCTGGATCCCGGATATCAATGTGGAGATGAAGAGGAGAGGACTGGGTGAAGATGATTGGAATGATGAGGACTGCTAGCGGTTGGGATACTAGAAGTGGCAATAAAAAAAGTTGCAAATACTCGTCAAATAAAATAGAATAGAATAGAAAAAGAAAGAAAAACATTCTTTAACTTTTTATTGAAACAATTCTAAGTTGTAACAAGATGTTTCAGGTAGCTAGAAATAAATTAGAAACTCAACGAAGTGTATCTAAAGAGAGGTTTATACCTTTCGGAGTCCTCGCGCGTCTAATTATTTTTAAATGCCGTATAATAAAGGGCAATTGTGCGAGGAGAGAACGATTCCGTTATTTCATACGGTACCCATCCTACTCTACAAACCAGATAAAGCCACCCACACAAAATATACTTCAAAATCGAATCTGTTACATAAGAAAACCTTCTGGTCTTGGCGTTTATTTTTAAACATCATCAAGCAGAGTAATAAACTGATTTATTTGCACGTTGCGTTGACGATCGACGACGACGTTCTTTGGTTCAAATTCGCGGCTTGAAGAACGAAATCCGTACGCAGAGAGAAGAGAGGTCAATCGCCTTTTGTGTTTGCGCCTTCTTCTTTCTCCGGTGATTTAATTCTCTTCGAATCAACCTTTCCTTCTTCACGTATGTTTCTGAACGTACACAACTTCTCCTTCGCAGGAAGTTGAATTAATTTAATTTTTTTTCCATCTTTCTAACTAATCGTTTCCCGTAAAACTCGTTTTTGTGAAGCGGATACAAAATGATATCAAAAAGTAGATACAACCACGCTTTATAAATGATTACGTTACAAACGATGATATGAAAACCTAACCAAAAAAAGTTACTTAATCAATCTTTGTAAAATTATATATAAACAATTGTTGTCCAACTTTTTAAGTTTTTAAGCTTTAAAATACTTACACAGTCGCTCTGAGTTGATTTTTTTTGTCGAGGCACACAAAATAACGTCACCTTAAAGCCTTTTTCACACTGGCAACCGTAAAGACCCCTTCTTCGCAACCGTTAAAGAGGTGTTTGAGAGCTTCTTAATAACGTGTATCTCGGTCACAAAACGACGACGAGTTAAGGTAACGGTACGATAAACAATAAAATGTTATAAACAACAACAAAGCACCACCACGAGCTCGTACTGCGTCATAACTGCAAAATACACCGTTCCAGAGACAAACTGGAAGGTATCTACAATCATCCCCACTTATAACCTCGAATTTTTAACATATAAACCTTATGGTTAAGGTTAATAAAGATCATTTTTGCCTGATTATCAATGTTTTCAACTCCGAGTTGGTCCTTTGAGGATTCTATACAGTACGTTTATTTTAACTTGGCGTTTTTATATCTTTATTTTTCAACAAATTACTTTAAACGAATTGCACAAGTAAAGAAATAAATAATATTTGCTATTTATAAGAAGCTTTAATTAAATTCTTTATTTATTTAATACATAAATTAAAATAAATAACAATTTTATGAAATCACTTTTGGTCTCTAAACATAGATGTCACTTTTTTAAATCACATTATGAATAAATTAAATTATCCAAACATTTATATTATTATTAGATATATACTATTATTAAATATCCTTTTGTTCATCATCTTACGTTAATTTTAATTAATTTTATTTTATAATTAATTAACTTATTAAATAAAAATTGTGATTAATCAATCTAATTTGGTGGTCTAAACATAGATGTCGCCATGAATTTCCAAATTACTTTAAAAAAAATTGCAAAAGTAAACAAATAAATAATATTTGCTATTTATAAGAAACTTTTATTAAATTCTTTATTTATTTAATAAATAAATTAAAATAAATAATAATTTTATGAAATCACTTTTGGCCTCTAAACATTGATATGTCACTTTTCTAAATCATATTATAAATAAATCAAATTATCTAAACATTTATATTATTATTAAATATTATTTTGTTCATAACCTTACCTTAATTTTAATTAATTTTATTTTATAATTAATTAACTTATCAAATAAAAATTGTTATTAATCAATTTAATTTGGTGGCCTAAACATAGATGTCGCCATAAATTTCGTTGCATCTTCTCATCCTAATTACCTATTAATTATTTAAATTAATCAATAAATTATTAACAAATTAATTTTTTTTAAATTGTTTTAAAAATGTTCTAATAAACAAAATTTAACTATTTATATATAGATGTCACCAAAATGATTTTTGAAACAATCGTGAATATAGTCGTATTTTCATGTCAGAACCGCAATTAATATAGCTGTAAATAGTAAAATGGGAATTTCTCCTCTACTCCGGAAGCTAACGCTTCCGGTGAGTTTAAAGCGATAATAAACAGTATGGAGAACGAACCTTATGTAGCTGATTGTCCCGAAATGAGTGCCTCACCCGAAGAAAGTATTGGAATCGAGCCTGAACTGCCCGAGGTGATAGTAGAGATAAAAGAGGAAGTTGTAGATCAGGACTGTGTACAGGAACAAACGGGGCGAAAACGGCAAAAAGCGCCCCGAAAAGGGATACCAGTAAAAAGGGTAAAACCATCTAACACACCTGAACCAAACACGTGTAGCGAAAAGGACTTTAGGCACCTTTTAGAAACGGTTAAGTCGAAAACAGGAGGCAAGAGTGCTTCCATACAATTGTGGCAATTTTTGGTGGGGTTGTTATCTGTGCCTGAAAATAAGGAGTGCATTAGATGGACGGGTAACGGTTTGGAGTTTAAATTAGTGGATCCTGCTGAAGTAATGATGGTTTATATCAAGATTGTTATCTAAAATGAGTTTATTGGTTTTAGGTGGCTAGAAGATGGGGTTCCGTTAAAAATAGACCAAATATGAATTACGAGAAATTAAGCAGGGCTTTTAGGTATTATTATGAAAAAGGGATCATGCAAAAAGTTTCAGGTAAAACATTAACTTTGCAATGATGAGTTTAATAAATGACAGATAATGGGGATTTTCATGTTTTCAGTTGGTACTGACTTTTAGGTTAATTTAAATTAATGCTAAAAACAATTTTTGACAAACATGTTTTTGATATAATTAAAATTTAATTCACAATCTAAGTTGATAATAAATATTAAAGTATTTGGTTTATCTAAAAAGTAACCGAGATAAAACTACTTCCGGTTTTAATATCCTATTCCACCTTGATTATTAGTCAACTTCATGGTCATTTATATCAATAATTATTTCTGTAAATATAATTATTATGTAAATAATAATATTTTGTGTTTTAGGTGGAGTATATGTGTACAAATTCGTCTGTGACTCACAAATTATAATAAATTTAATGAACGACCTACGTGATGATTTCATAGAAATGTTAAATTATACTCCCACAAACGGATTACCTAAGATACTATAATAGTTTTGTTATGGATATACAAAGATTTATTAAAAAATTTAAAGAAAAAGGGTAAATAAATAATGTTAAGGTAAATAAACTTCAATATTTTAAGATCTCAAGCACCTGTTGTATAATCAAGAATTGTTGTTTATTTTATTGTAAAGAACTATTTTGAAAATATTGAAGTTGTATATTTTTCTTGTATATATAAATAAATAATGTATGGATGGGGTTTATATTTGACTATATAAAATATAATTTTATGAAAAAAAATTTGTAGTTTGAAAGAGTTGGAGAATTCCTTCACAGCACTAGGCCCCAGTGGGCCCTTTGTACATCCCCACAATTTACAATTCATTTAGGGATCAGAAAATTTCTTTAAGTCCGCAATTTTTGGCCATGGTATGCCAAAAATGGATTTCCTTAAGAACCCAAGTTTAAAGAGTCACAAACAGAGAGTCATCAAGTTGTTGATGATTGGTGAGGAGCCTCAAGTCACTTTTTGATTTTCTCAGGAACTGAGTAGTCCTCTTCTGGTAAGGGTAGAGCAGAGTATTTTTTTGCAAAGATATCTACTGCAGTCTCAACCCAACTATCGCAAAAAGCTCGATGGAAGATAGAGTTAGCGGTACAAACGATTTAGGGGACACCAGTGTCTTCGTAGCCGCACGTTTCGGCAGCCTGTCAGACAGATTACGACGTTTTTCCTAACTTTTTTGGAGTTGATGATCACATTAGCTGCTATATTCATAGCAGTTATTTCAGCCTAAGCAGTCGTGCAGTATGACACTATTGAAATGGAAAGGTGCAGATGGAAATCATGCAAGAAGATTTCCGCAGCAGAGCCTCCAGCCTTCTTTGATCTATCAGTATAGATGGTCGTCTTAATGCCAAAGTGTGACCTGTTTAACAAAGTAGGTGTGCTGTAGTATGTGCGAGCTTCCCTCCTTGAAGCAAGAGGCTTACAAACAGCCTCACTCCAGAGTTCGCTCCAGACTATTCCCATTTTTACAACCTGCTTATTATCTACTGATCGCAATCGCAGCAACGCCATCACGGCCACCTCCCTGATAAAAATATGTAGGGGCTGCACGTTTAGCATAGTTTCCATCGCGATCGTGGGTATCGATCTCATGGCGCCCGTAATTATAAGCAGGCCAGTCGTTGCAGTTCGTGCAGCAATCTAGCCTTAGATGCATGTTTTAATGCTGTGTACTTAACTATGGCTCCGTGGGCTAGCATGGGTGTTATCACAGAAGTGTAGATCCACATTGAAACCCTCGCATTTAATCCCCAAATAGTCCCAATTGACCTTCGACATTGGATGAGTACAATCTTTTTTGGTTTTGAAAAAAGATTTATTTTTTAATCTAAATTCCAATTATATTTTAAAAACAAGTTAATTTATCTATCTTAAAACATATAAATAACTTTCTTAACCCATAGATCAAAACCGTATTTACATGCAATATCGGAAAAATGATGAGCTCTAAGATACGCAACTTTGCCTTCATTTAACCATTTCTGTATCTCTTATGCTTTCTGAGATCCCAATGGTGGGGGTCGAATTTGGATTACCTGTGTACTACCATGTACATGTATTCATGTTTCTGATAATTACATGAAGCACTCTTTTTCCCAGAGACACGGTTAAACGAATGACAAGATTATTGGCTCTCCATTCAGCTAGGAAACACATCAAGGTTAAGGACATACATACATATAATACTCAATGCGTAAAACTTCCATGTAACTTTTACTTGTATTTGCCAAATTTCCTCCTGGAATCCCAAGGTCAAGGTTGCACAGTTTGACCTTATTATACTAACAATAAGACGTATTGAAGACGTACTGTAACAAATAACGAAAAACCAAAATGTGCTAAACAAGTTATTAACCCTCGCGTACCATGTAACTTATAGTGGATACATGCTAAGTGTAGGGCAAAATCTTATTGTAACCTCATGTGGATTAATTACTTACTTAGGTGTGTAACCAGACTAACTAGTAAAGGAAACATTATAAGGCAGTTTGGTACGCAAGCGGTTTAGATTCCTTTTTGTATTGATAAAATGTTGCTTTTATTTTTATTTTATATAAAATATATAACAAAAAAATATTTTATTCTTAAACTAAACTTTAAATATACTTAATTATCTTCATCACTGCTAGAATCACTACTTGAATATACAATTGTCCTTTGGTTTGGGTTTATACAAAACAAATCCTCTCCATCATTTTCAAGTTTTTCCTCAAAAATTGAAGGAATAGCATTATTTTTTCTTAAAAATTTGATATAATTGTCCGTTGGAACTTTAACAATTTCCGGAAAATTTCCACCTACATCTTCGACAATAACCAACTTATTTACTTTAACCCACACGGTTTTTTGAAAACGCGAATTTAAAATTGCTTTAAAAACGATCTCGTCTTCACCGAGAACATCAAAAATATGATTTGGATTTTTATAAATTACTTTTACAATTTTTTGGTTGTCTTTAGGTAGCTCAAATTCTTCTTGGAGAATATCCAGATAAATATTTTTAGTTTTATTCATTCCTATAAAAAATAAAGATTTTTAATACATATTTAATTAAGACTCAACATGCTAACCATTTTTATTTGTACCAAAAATTCGTTGTTCCATTCGCTTTTTTAATTGCTTCATAAATATTTAAACTTTCCCCGTTTCGAATTCCGTATCCTTTTTCCAAACCGTGCGGATTTGAGGGTGTTTTACAATCTTGTTTTGAATCTTTCCTTAAAACCTCATCGATTTCAACAGATGAGAAAAAAGCCACGCTTTGGGGAAGATCGTAAAGTCCTAATTTTAACGAACAAAACGATCTTGTTAACAAATTTGTTACATGCATTGCTAAAGCTGCTTGATATTTATATTTTTCTGGTACTAAATACCTAATTTCATCGTGAAAACTCAAACAAAACCTTGCTTTATCACCCATTATCCATCTCATACAAACTAGCATTAAATGAAGAAAATCAACGGCGCCACTTTGGACCACCCAATTAATTCTTGTTGGAAGAAAGCGATCGGTTTCCATTGAAGATGGTTCCAAAGCTCGACTTAACCGTGATGTTAAGAATGGTGTAACAGGTGATGGAGTACCAGCGATTTCTTCTAAACGATTAAACATAGCAGACTCAGTTCCTCCTACCCATTTTGATTTTAAAAACATGTCATCAATTTTTTTACCATGTAGTTTCGATAATTGATGTGCCTGCCATTTTGTGTATGGAACATCAGAAAAATCATGAATATAATCACTTTTTAAATGATACGTCAGTTTTCCTTTAGTTAAAGTGAACATTTTATTAGCTTTTGATCTTGCTTCACTTTCACTCATCGATGGATTAAATTGTTTAATTAATCTTTCAGCAAAATTTTGACCCGCGCCATAAATTCGTGCATAATTTATTACTTTAGCATGATCTCTTGAGATTCCAACAGCTTTTGCCGTTACACTATGCATATCAGTCCCGCTCGCTTTATCCCCACTTAAAGTCATCCACCCTAATGGAGTTGCAGCATGCATCTTATAAGTTGCATCACCGATTACAGAAGCTATCCATAATTCTTGGGAATCAACGTCAGCCCCGATTATACAATAACCGGGTGGTGCTTGAACCATGGCTCTTAATTCAGAACCAACTCTTTCGGGGTGAGCATTTGAAGCTGTCATCCAAGTTGCTTCGACAGCCCGACGTGTTAAAGTCCCCGAAACCACAACTTGCGGGATGATAGCACCAAGTTTTTCTTTAAGATTGGTCCAAACTACCATTTGATTTGTGATACGATCTCGATTATTTCTCCAATATGACATTTGTCGAGCGATTGATAAAACTTTTTCAGCACTTTCCGTGTCGCCAGCTAAGACATTTTCGGAAAATTTAGTTAAAAAGTCTTTTGCTAAGGGATTCCCAACGTGAAACGAAGCCCCATCTTTATGCGGGAGTTTAAAGAAGAAACAACAGTCTTCAATGATCGTGTTACACCAAATTCCCGTTCCTTTATAAAGCCCGTTTGAGTGATCCTTTTTTAATTTACTATAATATTCTTTTCGGGATAAATTAGTTTCGACATCTTTTCCGATATTAATTTCGCTTGTATTCGCCTCGTTTGATTTTTGAGTTAAAATCGGACATTTTATTAATAAGTTTTTTAAGGGAAGTTTTCGTTCGGTTTCGGTGTCGTTATTAAAAGGGACGAGGAGACCCCAACCTTGTTCTCTTATATAATGCAAAGGATAACCCTCCCAAGTTAAATTCAACAATTTTGGAGTAACCTGCATGGATGTTGTTATTAAATGAGGACCAGGAATCCAATTCTCTTCAGAAAATTTAGTACAAAGCTTTCTGTACCAATTTGGATAACCCGGAAGTAACGTTTTAACAGCTGGAAGAAACGATTTAGTTTCTTCTAAATAAGAAAATTTTTTATTTAATTTATCAACACTTATTAAATTAGAGGTTAAATTTGAAAAAATAAATTCAGGTTCATCTTCGTTTTGATTTAAAGAATAATTTTGAGCCTTTTTTGTTGTTTTAACGGCCTTTTTTAATTTAATATTTTTAACATCCCAATCTAAATCCCACAGCCAAATATCTTCTTTATATTTCGCACCATGTAATAATTGGCACGCTAAATCAGCCCTTTTCGCTAAAAGTAATCGACTTTCGATTTCTAAATCTTGGTAAGTTTGATCGGATTCTTCGATATACCTCTCCCAATTCGAATTAACCGGTAAAAAGGCCGTGGAAAGTTCTAACATGCCGGCTAAAGTCGCTGGGTGTGGAAATCGATCCAAAAATAACGGGTATAACTCTTTTAAAACATTAAACGTAGCTATCACATCATTAGCACAATAATCCATAAGATTATAAAAATCGGCTTTAATTTCGGATAAGGTGCCGTTAAAAAAAACATTTCTTGCTTCCTTTTCGATTGGTTTTCCACAATATAATTTATGAACATCGCTTAAAGAATTTAAAGAACTTCGATCTTGCCAAGATTCTTCGTGTTCGTTTGATTTTGATTTTAAAACCGCCCTTTGATAACTTGTTATCCCACTTACGCAAATATGTAAAGACATTGTATCTAAAAATCTTGTTGATGTGTTTTCAATTTGGTATTGTTCTTTAATTTTAGAACGATCGAAAGATACGTTGTGACCAACGATAATTTTGGGGATTTTACCAAGAGGGATTAAAGAATTATCTAAATAAAAATGATTCGTAATAGGCTTTGAGGAGCCCTCTAATAATGATGGGCTAACCCAACCATACCAAGCTTTACTTGATACAGCTGTTGCTAAGGTTGGGGTTTTTCCTGCTAACATACACACTTCGACATCAAAAACTAAGCATTCCTCTAAAGGTGCTTCAACTTTTTCAACTTTGTCTTTGGTGTAACGCGTCCAACCTTCCTGCATTAACCAATCGTTTGGTTTATCAGGAATTTTTAGAAGCAAATCATCAATAACTTTTTTATATGGTTGAGCTTGATCGTTTGAAATTTTCCAAAAATGCTCCTCAAGGTTTTTTCCTTCTAACGGAGGAATAACAAAGTTAACATCTTCTAATAAACCACCTTCATCTTTGATACCAAATTTTTTTAATTGCAACCTACAACTCTCTACAGTTTGTGATGATAAATTATCATTCGGCAAATTTTTGAAAATTTGATCATAAATTGGGGTTGAAAGCATTTGTACGCCCATATGATTCATTCTAGGACCTTTTTTTAGTTCAAAATGAGGTGTAATATTTGTAGTAAAAGCTAGGGGATCTTTTTGTGGCTTTTTTCTCGTCGTTGAAGGTAGAAATACCTTTTTTGTTACTCGAGGATATATTTCTGAGAAATTTTTTTTATTTAATACGCTTAATAAGTTTGTTTTTGATATGGTTAACATGTTGAATCTAGAAATTACAAAAAACTATTTAATATTAAATTTTTTATATTGAACGGAAAAGTTAGGTTATGTTAAAAAAAACAAGTCTTAACTTTATCAATTAAAAACCACGAGAATGATCAGAATTTATGCTGATCTTAAACTTACTTTTTCAAATAACAACCAATTATTGATGAACTTAATTAAAACTGATTAAAACTAAACGTGACGTTTCTTATACCTAATATAGGTTATGTTTACTACTGTGAAATTAGAAACCATCTGTCAAAAATGTCAAAATAAATTTTGCTCAAAATTTATTAAATATAATTAATTATAATATAATTGAAAGAAGCTTTAAACTGTTTTTGGTTTATTTATTTCTTTTTACAATCTTTAATCTTTATCTTGCATAAAAAGTTTAGTAAGAAATCTTTAAAGGTTATGTTATGAAGTGCAATAAAAACAGAGAAATTCATAAAAACTATGGACACTGAGCCTGAAATAAAAATAAAGCAAGAACCAAATTATAAAGAGGAAACTATAACCTTTATATCACCGGATGAGGAAGAATTCTCACAAGATATACCAGACGAAGTTAAAATAGAGGATGTTCAAACCGATTTTTATTACATCTGTAAAGTTTGTCAAAAAAACTTTGATTCTGAAACAGATTTACAAGAACACCTCAAAGAACCAGCCCTTACAAAAACTTATCAATGTTGCGCTTGCGATAAATCTTTCAGGGATACATTCCAATTAACAGTCCATACACGAAAACATACCGGTGATAAACCATACGTATGTAGTATTTGTTCAAAACGATTTACAATCAGTGGCAATTTAAAAACTCACATGAGAACTCACACGGGTGAAAGAAGATATGAATGTCATAATTGTAAAAAGAAATTTATTCAATTCGCCCACCTTCAAGAACATATCATATCACACGGTGAAGATAGACCATTTAAATGTTCTTTATGTGGAGGTCAATTTATGACACAAAGAAGATTAACTAGACATATGAAAATACACGAAAAGAAACCAGACATAATCAGTAATACAATTAGTGATTCTGATGGTCCTTTTAAATGTGATATTTGTTTGAATTCTTTTCAATCATCGCGAGGTTTCAACAGACATTTTAGTCGTATTCATGTAGAGGGGGTTGACGAATCAAGTTTAAAATGTAAATTATGTGATAAGAAACTAAATGCTAAACGGCAATTAACGCGACATATGAAAGCTCATTTAGGTGTAAAACCGTATTCTTGCAAAATTTGTGATCGTAATTTTCCATCATCTCAAAATCGTGATCGGCACATGAAAATTCATACGGGCGAGAAACCTTATTCTTGTCCAACATGTAAAAAAGGTTTCGTTTGTGAAGCTAACATGAAAAGGCATGTACGAATTCACACTGGAGAGAAACCTTATGATTGTAAAATTTGTGGAAAACGATTTTCACATAGTACTTCTGTTAAAGAACACATGGTGGTGCATGATAAAACTAAAGTGGTTGAATGTGGAATTTGTGGGGCTGGTTTTGGGATTAGAAAGAGATTGTTGGAACATGTTAGAAGAAAGCATTTGTCAAAAAATAATGAAACAATTAATAAAATAGATAATTTGGTTGTTGTAAAAGAGGAAATTAATGAGGAAGATTATTATTCTAATATTCATGATGAATATACTGACAAAGTGGAAAGGGTTGATATTAAAGTTGAGAATCAAAACATTTATTGAAATAATATAATTATTTGTTGATGATATTTTTGTATGTTTTAAGAATAAGTTGATTTTTTAATAGTATAATAGTATGTAAGAATAAAAAATAAAGAAAAAGGACCTTGTAAACTTGTATTGACCTTGGTAAACAAAATTAACCTTATGCAATACTCCTTAGGAAATATAACTCACATTTCCCAATCTATCTGACGTTGTTCAACCCTTACCCTTAATTTTTCCCTGGAGTCATTAACCTTAGTAAACATAGCTAACCTTTCTGAATCTACTTGGAATGGTTAGTGCGAACATTTTTTTTACTTCTGAGTCATTACCCTTGGAAAACATAAGTGACCTTTCCCAATCTAATTGGCATTGAGTATTGTCCGTAAAATTAAGATGACCTTCACCTTAACAATGACCTCCAGGTAAACATTTTTTACATGGAGATTATGTTACTACTCAGGATTTCTCACCAGTGTTATTAACCTGTAAACAAAATCATCATTACCTCAGAAAACATAACTGACCCATCATAATCTGCTAAATAAAGCTTCATCACCTTTGGATTACTCACGGCTACAGCGCGACATTAATGCTCTTTATTACAGCTCACATTTCATAACACTCATCAACCCTGAAAAATGTAATGTTATTTCTTTTACAAGGAAGGTGAGCACGATGAGATACGATTACAACCTGAGTTGTGTAAATTAAGTAATGAGACTGATTTTTTGCAATTTTTTTTTATTAGAATAGATTTACAATTCAATATTGTCTCCGTCCAAATAACTTCCTTCTGAAGCCACACAGCGCTGAAGTTCTTCCAATCCTCATAGCACTGCTGGAACTGCGATACTGGAATAGCCTTCAGCTTCAGCTGAAGAGGAAAAAGCACAAGGACTCAAGTCAGGTGTATAAGGAGACTGAGGAGCTACAGGAATGTTTTTACCGGTCAAAAACTCATTTATTGAAATTGCTGTGTGGGAAGGCGCATTATCGTGATCCAACACCCAGTTGTTCTCGATGTTTGTCTCACACGAATGACCCTTTTTCGAAGTTTTTAAAAAACCTCTGGGTAAAAGTGTTGATTGATCGTTTGGTCTTGAGGCACAAACTGTTTGGACGGATTGTACTCAAACACCTAAGATTCAACACCCAATCGATTCCAAAAAGTCAAGGCACCTTTCCCTCCTGTTGTCCTTTTGGTCTTGTGAAAAGTTTTTTTGGAACCATTTTTAAGCAGATGTTTCTCATCTCGAATTCAAAATCTGATGAAATTTTCAAATCCTTGAAGATGAAGGAGTGTCGCTTCATGGTTTATCCGTAGGCCTGTTGAAATTTTGCAAAAGTTTCCATTGCACTACGCCCAAATCTGAATCAAAACCTGATTGCACACCGTTGCTCGAAATTAATAAGTAATAACGGTGTGGTGTTAGGTGACAGAAATTTGATCTTAATAAAGTTATATGTAAGATCAGGGTCTTCTTCAATATTTGGAGGATGAGCAGTAGCATTGTCCATAAGTAGCACACATTTAACAGGCAGTTTCATTTCCTCAATATGTGTTTTAACAGAAGGAGCAAAAACGTCATTCAACAAAATACGTATCATAGCTTGTTGTTTGAATACTGTTTGTATGCGAAGCCGTTACTGTGCGTAGGAGTTTTGTACTGCGAGTCACTTTCGCCCCCTGTTCACTCCATACGTTCTGTGGGTTCGTGAAGTGAAGCAAAATATGTTCACAAATTGAGACGTTCGTGCTCCGAGGTATCACCATAGAACAGATATAGAGACTATAGTAAGACTATTGCAGACTTGCAATTCGACACACCTCCGCAGTAACAATCACAACCTTAATGCCGTTAGGCCTTGGCTCAAGAGTTCTGTAGTTTCGAACAGTTCTGAACCTTTCCGAGTATACGCAATATATGCAATATGTATGCGCAGAAAGTTTCAGAACTTTGGAAATAAGATATGCAGTTTTCGAATAAGCGATTCTGTACGGCATTATGTTGATTTGGTGGATTTTGCTAATCGTATTAGAGAAAAAGTTATTCATTCACTTTCATTGAATCACTTATGAACATTCATGGAATCTTAAGGGTAAATATAGAAAACTTCGGCATTTACTTTCTAAACTAGACGAAACTGCAACAAGAGATTTTATATATCTTATTGGGATTGTTACAATGAGGTTGCTAATGACAAACCTGATATAAATAAAGTTGTATTAAATGAAAGAAGTCCTAATGGGGTTGAACTTGATTATTATCTGCAGTGTCCAACTCCTAAAAGAGATACTAATTCCTGTGAATGGGAGTACTAAGTAATAGGTTTTAATATCCGGCCGGATTTTAAAAAATGACCGAATAGGCCGGGTACCGAATAGTTGCGGGAAATCCGTTCCACCACTACTGGAGATCTTATAATATATAGAAGTAAATTGTAACAAATTCAATCCCCCAGTATCTAGTTACATCGATATGACGATTAAATAGAAGATCATAATCATTAACATACAAAATAATGATAATAATTGCTTTGCATGGGCGCTTACGTCCGCAATGTACCAACCCACCGCACCACCACAAAGAACATCATCATATTTACTTTACGTTGAATTCCAACAGTTTGGAATTTCCAGTTAGCATGATAGACATACCAAAATTAAAAAAAAAAACGAACATAAAAGATTCGTCAGCAAAGGTTGCTTGAAGATCACTCGTTGTGATTATTATTGGTGTGATTTAACAATGCCATTCTGGACCTAGCACAAATTTAGTTAATTTTGATGATGGCACAAAGTAATACGCAACGCAAATCTGTAACAATAAGGCCTGGTGCACACTTGCGACCACGAACTTCCTACACACCTATATAGGTTGTTTCAGCGAGACCGGTCATTAGACGTTTCTGAGGTTCTGGCCAAAATAAAAATTTGAGAATTCAGATTTAAATATTATCAATTGCGTTCTCTTTGACTAAAATATTTTCATATTTCTAGCACTTCCGGTTATATCGAAAATCGCCATCTACTTTATTTTTTTTAAATGGAACACCTGTATATTTTTACAAGTTTGGATTTGTCTGCTTTCAAGGTTTATGAATAACTTTACTTTTTGCAATTTGATTCGGCCGTTCTCGAGTTATTCGAATTTTTCTAGAAAAATTTGCTCCAGCAGACATTTGTTCAAAAAATCAGAGGACACTCGATTTTTGAAATACCAATTTAGGATTCAGAATAGAGGTGTCAACCGATACTTGTACCTGTTACTTTGGAACAGGTATTTGTATGTTGTTCCTTGGAACAGTTACTAAATTTAAAAAATAACAGGTACAAAATACTAGTTCTGTAAATGTTATCGATTTCTTCTCTACGTTACTTATTATATTATTTGGTATGGGTAGGAACAACAAAGATTTGATGTATTTTTTGTAACAACTGTTACCAATAATGAAAAGAAAATGAAATAAGTGAAAATATTATAGTCGAAGAGAACGCAATTGATAATACTTAAGTCTAAATTCTCAAATTTTTATTTTGGCCAGAACCCCAGAAACGTCTAATGAATCGGGTCTAACTAAAAAGGAAGCGTCACCAATAGAAGCAACTATTTCCTTTCAAACATAAATATAAATTAGTTTATGTCACATCAATAAACTATAAAATAATTTTTAAAAATCAATTACAAATTAGTGTATGAATTAAAAAATAAATTTTAATATTAAATTTTTATTTATTTTTCATATAAAACCTCATCCAACTTCTCGTATTTTTCTCATTATTTCTTTCTCAACTAAAGCTTTAATATTACCATCAACATTAGGAATTTCCGTATTTGTTCGAACAGATAACTAAAAAAAGAACAAATTAATCATACTTATACAAAAAACCCAATTCTTTTTACTTCAATTTGTTGAACTAATTTAATTTCTCGAAGTCCACAAATAAAATTACTAATTTTACAACTATCCAAACTACCCAATCGTCCCGTTCTTCCTACTCTATGAATGTAATCAGAGGCATATAAAGGAAAATCATAATTAATAACATGTTTAACATCTTTTATATCTAAACCGCGGCTTCCAACGTCCGTTGATGACAAAATTTTCACTTCGTCGTTAATAAATTGTTTCCATTGGTCAACTCGAATATGATAATTCATTTCTCCGTTAATATTGGCGCATTTTAAGCCGTTTTCTCGTAAAAACATTGCGAGCCAATTACAAGATTCATTTCGGTTGGTAAAAATTAATAATTTTGATTTCGCATTCTTAGCAATGCTTAATAAATGGCCAGGTCGTGCAGATTGTGAAAGTCTTAAAAATTTTTGATTTACATTCAATAAAGGCCGATGTAATCGATCTGATTTTATAGTAACCAACTGTTCAGTGATGGGTTGTAAGAAATCTGGTATATTTTTAGGTAAAGTAGCAGAAACTAAAATAAATTGAGATTGAGAAACCCTTTTAGTAATTAAACCAATTCTATCATTAAAACTATCATCGAGTAAGGTGTCAGCTTCGTCAAAAACGGTGTGTGCTACATCTTTAAGTTTATATATACCAGCTGTACTTAGTTTTCCTATTACACCTGGTGTTGCAATTAAGATGTCTATATCGTCGAATAAGGGGTTAATCATCATTTTTTTTGTTCTTCCCCCAACCAAAACATGAATACTTACATTCATTGCATCACAAAGTGGTTTTGCTACATCTCCTATTTGAAATGCTAATTCTCTATTTGGTACGACAATCAAAGCTTTTGGGGTATTTAAATCATTCGCCTTTTCTTTGGCTACATTTTGAATAATTGGTAATAAATAGGCGATCGTTTTACCACACCCTGTCTCAGCAGCCATCATAACATGTTGTCCGGATTGTATTACAGGAATTGTATTGGCTTGAAAACTTGTTGCTTGTTCAATATTGTTATAGTTTAATACTTTTATTAAAGAATTTTGTATATTAAGCTCATTAAAGTTAATGCTTGGTTTATCATAATTATCTTGCTGGGCGTGTATCATAAAATAATCCCCTGCTGCTTTTCTATGAGCCCAACCTTTGGATGCCAATGGGATTTCTTTCAATTTTTCGTAAGTTGTGTTTTGATACATATTGAAATCTTTTCTAAAACATGTTATTATAGGTGGGTTAGATGACTTATATCGCCTCGTTTGTAATGTGAAATTTAAAAGCTTTTGGGTACTTTTTAATAAGTTAGAAGTCATTTTCTTTTATTAACACATTACTTTTTTTTTGAGGTTAGGTTTTTGTGAGGTTATGTTTTAATTTTATTCTTTTTATATATTTTTTGAAAAAGATTGATTATGTAACTTATGATTAAGAGTTAAATAAATATTTTTAATTAATTTTTGAGCTTTTTGTACATTTTTCAAATAAAATTAATTATAATTTATTTATATTGCAAAAGATGGCGCAAAATTTAAAAAAAATAATTATGACAGCTTTCAAAATTTTTTAATAAACGTCATTAAAAATTATAACCTATAATTTGTTATTAATGTTATTGCAAAATGTTCAAACAAAATCTTCGCTTATTTAATTACAAAATATGTTGTTGTGTGTCTGATTTTATATAAAAATAAATCAAAAATGTTTGCATTAGGTTATCTATATTTAAATTTGTGACTAGGCCAAGATAAGCAAAACGCAATTTACTAAATTTTTATTTCTATTACGTTACAAAACCCTCAATGTACTATTGTTTTAATTTTAAATTTATCGATAGAAATAGATAAACTAATACATCGTCAGTATTTTAATTTCGCTCGTGTGCTCGCAATCAAGTCGTGTATGCACTTATTTTCGACTAGGTTTTGCGTAAATCGATAAAACCGAATCGTGCAATACAACGTGAACTTCATCTTAGCTACTTCAAGCTTTAAGAACGATTTTGTAATTAAGATTTTGTGTTAATATCAACAACAAACATGGTGCTTTTTGGTTAAATTTTAACATGGATAACGAAAACAATAGCATTGTTTATTTGGACATACAAATAGGGAATGAAAGAGGTAAAATTCATTAATCTTTGTTGCATAATTTAATATCTATAAATATTTTTCAGCCGGACGGATTATTATTGAATTGTTTGATCAGCTCGTTCCCAAAGCTGCTGCTAATTTTAAAGCTTTATGTACCGGGGAGAAAGGAATTGGAGAATATGGGAAAAAATTACATTATAAAGGAAACACGTTTCATAGGGGTAAGTTATAATTATTTAAAAACTAAGGAAAAAAAAGTCGTACATAACCTCAATCGTTGTTTTTGTGTAAATTGGGTTAATCCAAAATAGTTACCTATGATAATATTGACATAATTTAGACATAATCACAATAGATTCTCATTTTACAAAATCCTCAGTTTTATAATTTCTCTTAAAAAAATGTGGAACAACTGCTGCTGTAGTAAATCACCGGAATGCGAAGACCCAAATGATTGGTGTGAAGGTAATAGAAAAGTTAAAGGTCGTTTTGGAGTTGCTTTTGTGGCCGAAACGCCTTGCTGTTGTCCAGAACCGATTGGATGGCAAGTAGAATTTTGTGACACCCCCTCAAAAGTTGAGCAACGATGCATGGAAATGATTCAATGGGCGAATCGACCTCCACTTCCACGTTGTGACCCATGTCCCCCTCTTGAAGTTGTTTCCCCTTGTTTTCCCCCAAAATGCAACCCTTGCTGTCCAAACACTAATCCTTGTAGCCCTTGTGGTCCTTGTGGTCCTTGTGGACCTTGTTTACCATGCAATCCATGTGGTCCACCATGTATGTTTGAAAGCAGACCAAGAAGAAAATGCTCTTGTTGCCCCGCCAGCTCTAAAAAAAAATGTTCATGTTCGAAGAGTAATTCAAATAGGAAAAGGTGTGCATGTCAAGAAAACGAAGAATTTTGCGATTGTTGTCCCAGAAAAAGAGATGGAAGAAGGAGAAGAGAGAATGGATCCCCAAATAGACCCAGAAATAAAAGTAAAGGGAACGTTTATGATGATGAAATACCTGTGAAAGAATCTCGACAAAGGTCGAAGAGTAAAGACCAGGAAAGTAGTCTTAGTGGGAATGTAAATGGTTAATAACGAATGTCCCCAAAAAACAACCAATCATCTTCATTTTTTCTCCAAATTTTTTATCGTATTTTTTTGGGACATTCTTTTACAACAACAAAAAAAGAATTTTAAACGTAACTTCGCAGGCACTCAGCATAGTCAGTTCAACAGGCGCTAAAGAATCATCAGACAACAAAAGGAAGAAATGTAATTGCGCTAAAAAACTCGAACTTTGCAGGGAATTCCTAACCGCCATTGTAAAAAATTACAAATCAATTATGCAATCACGAGAAGAAACCCAACAAAATAGGCACCACGACGACAGTTTTGATTCTGATTGTAGATGTGAAGATAAAATGAAAAATGTTTACGAAAAATTGAAACAATTTTATAAAAACTTTGATTATGATAATGAAGAGGAAGAAAGTCATCAAGAATCTTCAAGGAATACTTCTAAAGGAAGCTCGATTGAAAAGTTTCATCAAACGAGTGACGTCTACAGATTGGATTGTATTAATTTAGGTGTTCAAACGTTAAACACCGAAAACAAATACTGTCAATCTCAACGTTCGAATTATGAAAAAAGCGCGGGAGAAATGTACAAAATCGAAGAAGAATCCTTTGATTTTGATCCAACTCCGTTTTGTTTAACCGAATTGAATAAAACCGCCGATTATTGCGATTTAAAACGTTTCAAATCTAGAGATTTAATAAATAAAATGTCTCCGCCTGATCAATCTTGGGATTCTCAAGCATGGAGGAGAACGCAAACATTGGCTTCAGTTTGTATCGAAAATTGTCCAGATGAAGTTTTTCGTAGACTTGTTCGAGTGCGTTCGATGATTTTTAGATTAATAGAGGTTATACAAAGGTTTCTAAACACCGTTTTTGGTATGTTGCCTGCACGTGAGGGGGAAGGAAGTAGTGTGTTAAGTTGAAAAAAATTAGTTTTAAAAAAAACTGTGAAACGCCAATGAAGATGACCTTTGATTTAATATAAACAGTTGTCCACGTCCGTTTTTTGAGTTTTTAACGTCTGGAAATCAATATATTTTTTTCAAATAATTACCAATAAAAATGTGTTTTTTATTTTTTCGTTTTTATGTTATATTTCAAAAAATAATTGAAATAACTGAATGAAATAACATTATGCATTGCACATGTCTATTTTTTTAATAGTCTCAATGACAACCTTAAATAAACTTCTACGTAAACAATTTCCAGAACGACTTAAAAAACAACTTCATTTGCGGATTTAACATTTATATATAGTGCGTTTGTAAAATAAAGGCGATAAAATCATTATGAAAAAATCCCTGAAACGAATTTAACCCAGATATGCCCAACGTGTTCTGGTTTCTGTTTTACTAATACTATGTTTTATATTTGTTATACAATAATTTATTAAAAACAATATTTGTGCTGTATACACTATGATTCTCAACGTATACGCATAAACTTGGGGATTTATTCCTTATGACAAATAATGACTAATAAGTGAAGAAAATTGTAGCAAAAGTTTTTTAGTTTCTAGATATCCGAGAAATTTACTTTCAAATCAAGAATACATAGAATATAAGTACAAAGGCTTTCACCGCCGGTGTTAATTAAACTAAAACTAGAACTAACAGAGTGCCATGTTACAACCTTCTTTAGAAACAAGTTCGAAGTTGTCTTCGAAACGTCAAACACTTTTTCCAGAGTGTCGGGGGATTGCTTCCGTAGCAGCATGTATCCTACTTCCTAACATTTGCTCAGTACTTCGGTGGCGTACACTTTGCTTTTTAAGTGATCCCAAAAATAAAAATCAAGAGGATTGAGGTCGGGCAATCCAGGTGGCCTGACCATTGGACCACCTCGACTTAGCCATCTTCTGGAAAACACATTATTTAGAATCTAGACTAAATAATGTGTTTTATTAGATATGTTACAACATAACATCTAGATTCTAGATGTTGTCGCATATATCGGATATCTAGGAAACCAAAAATGTTTTACTACAATTTTTTTCATTTATTAGCCATTATTTGTCTCGAGGAATAAATCTCCAAGTTTATGCATATAAGTTAAGAATCAGCCTGTATATGACAGTGGGCATATCACCCTTTTTATTGGGTATGATATGTAACATTTCACATCTAAACCTACGTTGTTACGTTGTGTTAATTTTTGGCATCGTTGTTCCACATCTTGTTTGTTTCTCTTGAGTAATGGCCCAAACGATTAAATCCGAATTTAGGCATTGTGAAAGTTGTCCTTTTTGGTAAATCGACGCTTTTTATTTTGATCAAGTAAAGTATGCACAATACTTCTTCTGAAAGATAACTCATTCATTGTGCCTCCATGAGGTTTATGGATTTGCCAGGCATTTTGTACCGCCATATCTACACAGTGAGCTATAAGAGAAAAATTCCACGCATAGCGATGCGATATAAACTTATATTCTGATCTGAACGGACCGACTCCTCTCAGCTTCTATATTTTTTTCAACCCCAATTGCATTCAGGCAAAATATAACAATATTATTGTCATTTTATTTTATGAAAATTATGTTGCTGTCCTTAATTTTGATAAGATATTTTTTTCACTCAAATTTTCTAACAGCACAATAGAAGAAAACAAATTATCAAAGAAGTAATAGAATCTCAGGTCTTTCCATTTTGATCTTAGAACATCGGCGTATTCAAGCCCAACAGAATATACTGCTTACAACCGTGCTTTATCTATGCTATGCTGTTTTTCAATATAATCATTTTTCATAAACTTTTCGTTCAAACATGTGCAAAGTGGTCTGATCTTGGTCAATTTGTCAAAGGGATCTAGAAAGTTGTTATCCTGGCAATGAACATTAGACATGATAAATAAAATGACCAAAATTTGTCGAAAATTGCTTAAATTTGTCTAAGCTTGTAAAAAAATTCTAAATTGATTAAAATGTGGCTAACATTATGTAAAGTTTTCCAAAATTGTTCATAAGCACTAAATTTGGCTAAACTTGTAAAAAATAGTTTATAAAAATTTTTCAAAATTGTTCAATATGACTAAAATGATCAAAATGTGGCTAAGATTATCTTGCCCAAAATTGTTTAAAAGCGCAAAATTTGCCTGTTATTATTTAAACTTGTCTAAGCATGTGCAATATTATCTAAAATGATAAAAAAATGTTTACATTGGTCTAAGCTTGTAGAAAATTATCCAAATTTTGCTGAAGTCGTTTAAAATTATTCAAAGTTCAATCAAAAATTTGATCAATATTAATTATAAAATCTATTTTACCAGTAATTTTAAGAAATGTAAATATCATTTAGAAAAATATCAATGATTAAAGTTTTTTCGTACTGGTTTTACTGTTAATAAAAATCCGCTTTACATGTTTCGACCTTAAAGGGCCATCTTCAGAAGCGCTACAATTAATGAAAGTAAGATTTTGTTTAAAATTACTACTAAAGTTAACTTAGTTGTCATTAGGAAAAGTTGGCTGCAAGTTACATTAAAAATCTTTATTTGATGTGCTAAAATTTACGATCTGTTTGAAGTTTTGAATGCTAACTTTTCCTAATGACAAGTAAGTTAACTTTAGTAGTAATTTATAACAAAATCTTACTTTCTGTCTAAATGCATCAATTAAATGCAAAGAGTGTTAAGCAGTGACAAAGTATGCCAAAAAAAAAAATGCGTTAATAATCTCGAACAGTATCAAAGAGTGTCAAAAGGAATCAAACGGTGAAAAAGTGTAAAATGGTGGCAGAAAGTCATTTAAACTGTTAGATTAGATTTTGACTAGAAAAACGCTAGCAATTAACTCCTTTGATATTATTGATAATCAGTGCGAACAGAAAACTTGTGAAAATTAATCACAGTTTGGGAACTAAAACATCACACAACTTCTTTCTTTAATAGCGAAGATTTTGATGATAAAACTCGCAGATCAATGCTTCTTTGGAAAAGAACAATGATCTTAACGTATGTTAAATAAGGAGTTCTTGAAAACTGCTTATGTAGCGTTAGACATTAATAGGTATTATAAGTAGTCTGGATACGCATTTTTTTGTAAAATGTTTAATCTCGGAAAACAACCTCTTATAATCCGATTTTGACAGAATGATTTACCATGACATTAAAAAAAAAACTATAGTAATGCTATTAAACTATGGCTTCTCAACTTTTCACCCAGCTAATATGCCCTCTAAATTGCTTGATCTTGGTGATAAACAAATCTAAAGACGAATTTTCTTCAAAACAATGCATATGAATATTTACTTATAAGGGATAGGATAAGTCTACGTAAACCGCTGAGTCTAGGAGTATCCTCTATGTACCAACGGAATGATGTCAAATCAAGGGATATCCTGCAAAATGTTTAATGGCTCGTGAGAAGTACTTCCACGAGATTAATCGCTCACCTACAATACTACCATACTATTTATCATCGAAATGATAACGTTGGATTCCTCATTAGTTGTACTGAATGTCCTCGAAATAAGCATCTCATTGGATCCAAACTGATTATAACTCAACAGATTGTCGAACATATTACCCAACATAATGATGTAGCCATCCATATGTTCACTGTTTTGGCAGTAAATTGAAACAGTAGACACATCTCCCCAACAATTGCCACCTCAGTCGGATCACTTACCTCTTCGACTACCCTACACTTCAGATCCAAATATCTAACTTTGTCCACAAACGAAATCAGGACTAGGATGGGTGAGATAGTCTTATATCTACGAGAGTTGGATTGCTTTTACGTTAAGCATAATCTATTTTTCTCTACTGAAACTCGCAAGCTTTTTTCCATTTAATCAATATTTTGAAATATACTACCTATAACATTTTTATTATATTCAACTTCGTGTTCCAAAAGGTATAGAATTTGTGCATTACTACTTTACTACTAGTTTCATTTCACATCACGCTTCACAGCAAAAAATGTAATAATCTCGATACGCCCTAATCTTTATCCTGAAATTACGGATTCAATTTGCCAACTTCAATCAAAAGCCTTTGTGTTATGGTCCGAAAATCATAATTTGGGTATCAGCTTTTTTTGGGTCCTTTTCATTGAGAACTTGAAAGATACAATCACAGATACTTAATTCAAACAGGATGTCGCATCCTGCCATATTTCTAATTTTACCTCACCGATTAGAATCTTCTAGTTGGTTCTATTTAAGTGAAGTTTTTTCCACAAGCAAGTTATCTAGAACTCTTATAAACTATAAAAAACATTTGTTTTTCCTAATTTCAAATTTTGAATTAAATTTGTTGCATTGGCGCGAGCCATCTAAATTATGACGTAGAGTTTCAAAATTAATGACATTTCTAATTTTCGACGTTTAAAATATTTTGATTTTAGTAAATTTCTTTTATCAGTCAAAATTACCTCGTGTATATTTCTCAAATAAACAAAAAATGTATTCAAATTGCTGCTGCGATTACTCAGATGATGAAGATTATTGGTGCAACGTTCCGAGAGTAAAAGGTCGCTTCGGTTTAGCTTTCGTAGCTGAAACGCCATGCTGTTGTCCGCAACCAACAGGATGGCAAGTTGAATTTTGTGATTCCCCGTCTGAAGTTGAACAAGCGTGCCAAGAAATGATGATGTGGGCGAATCGCCCCCCTCTACCACGAATTGATCCATGCCCCCCCGTTGAAATTATATCACCATGTTGTCCTCCTAAATGTAACCCTTATTATCCCAGTTCAAGGGCGTGTTGTTCGCGATACGATTGTGGGTATTGTCAAGGTTGTTCATGTTCTCAAAGTAGAAATGTTAGTCGATGTGATAATAACAAAAACAGATTACGGGGAGGTGCTGTAAATCGCTGTGATGCTTACGACGAGGTTCCTGTTAAAGAAACTAAAAGAAAATCAACAAAAATAGTTGAATTTGATAGTTCGGAAAGTACTTCTTCTTTTTCAAGGGAAAAGACAACAACTTATCAAGAAGATACAAGAAATAAACGTGACGATAAAAAGAAGATCAATAAAAGTAAGAAAGATCAACATAAAAACGAGTTAAATAAAACTCAAAATTACACTCAAACTCAAAATACTGATTT